TTCTGCTTAAACCTTACTAATGTCGTTCTTGACAGTTTCTGTTCAGACAGGATATTTGCTTCATATAATTCTTTAAGTATGCCAAAACAAGAACGCCATCCCCCCTTCCCCCACTGTGTGGCTTTTTTTTTTGTGCCTACATGGAGTTTCATTGGGATTTCGTGTACAGCTCTATTATGTTTTGGAGAGCTTAAGAATTGGGTTACAGAACATTAGACTTAATATTGCTGTGGTCTTATTGAGTAGTGGGCAACCCTCCAGGCTAACAACTTTATTGCACCACAGAAACCTTAACCAAGTACACGTCAGAAGTGCACAGTAATTGCATCCTGACACATGCCCGCCTCTACACGTGAAACGGATCAGACCAAGAAAGCAACTCTTTCTAAAAAAGGAAGAGAGGTTCTTATGGGACTCAGACCAATCTCTAGATTATTTCTTCAAATCAACATGAATTCAAAATTAACACTGTTTACTTTCCTAAAGCACATTCCTGGTCTTATTGTTCTTGATTCATCAGTGCATGCTCTTCCAAATTTTCCAAAAACAAATTGTTTGCCTTTATAATCTTTTATCAAAATGTAATGACTTGATCTGCCAAAGAACGACTTTCCATTTTGGCTGAGATTCAAAGCCAAATGAATGTGAAAACTGATATCATTTCAATCAAAAACAACTTAATTCTAGTGTTTGTGTAGTTAGCAATAGCGCAAAACAAAGTGTAAATAGTGCAATGCAATTGCACTGGAACTTATTAGCTGTTTATATTTTAGAAAATATTGTTTTTGAATGTACTGATTCGAACACTGACAGAGTCCTGTTTTATTACCCGCTCTGTGTTGTATCCAGTGCTGCTAGGTCAACTTAATGGATGTAGCAGGTACTAAGCTTAAGACTGGAAAAATAATTTCCATGCGGATGGTCTGGTCTCAAGAGCGCATGCATGTGCATTTGTGTGTGTGCTGAATCCAGTGGTTAGTTTAAAATCATATGAGAGACCGTAATATAGCATTCATGAGCTTATAGTAGAGTTCTCTACCTTGGGGAACATCTCAATTGCTTCAGGAAAACAGGACAGATTAGGATTGTTTGTCTGAAATGTGGGAAGCTTGCGATGTCGAAGAGGGTCTCAGTTACTCTTCAGACTTGTGGCCAGACTTATTCTCCAAGGAACTGGTTCTCCCCTAGGTCAAAGACTCAAAGCTTGTAGTCAGTTCAAGGGTTTCTAAGAGGTCATTAGAGGGTTAATGATATCTCAGATCCTCGTCCTCTCCACCTGAGTGTTGGCATGCGTAGCCCCAGACATGCCAGGACATCCTTTCAAGTTCAGCGAGCAGAGCGCCATTCTCAAGCCTGCTCTCTGGAGTCCAATACTGAGGATGAAAGGTATGTCTGGAACAGATGCAACATGTGTTCTTGTGCATATGTGCCACTGCTGTAGTGTCCACGATGGGGGCCATGTTCCACCTGAGTTCACTGAGCATGTGTGATGCTCTGTGATGATGTCTGTAATGCTCCCCAGTGACAACATTTTTAAAAAACAAGTAGAAATCAGTACAATAATGGCTTTAACTTTAAATCAGTACAATAATGCCTTATATTTATTTAGTACTGTTATGATTATAATCTTTAGAACTGGCTGATCCTCTCTTCACAATCTCATAACTGCCCATTATATATAATAAACCACAAGTGATTGCCTGAGAGGCCTTTGGAGCACCAAAAAGGCTTGTTTTATTTTATTACAGACTGGTTAGGTATGAAATAAATGTATCTGTGTAAGAAATCAGAAATCATGAAATTAAAGGGTCTGTTTTGTTGCTGAAAAATATTTGAAATAACTGTATTTTTGCAAGTACATAAAAAAAATGCCTGATTACGTAATTGGCAGCAAGCAATGTCTTTACCTAAGGAGTATATGAAAACTCCTAAAAAAAATGAAATTGTGAAGGCTGACATTTTGATTAGGTTTTAGCGTAGGAGTATGGGGTGACTGTAATGTAAATGAAACTGTATAAACCTGGCCTAAATATGAAGCATTTTGACTCGGACTAAATGAATTTATTCAGTGAGGGTGCCTTCCAGAAACCTCATCCAAAATAGCTCCGGATGCTGGTATCAGCTAAGAGGATAAACGCTAACCTCATTGCCAAAAAAGGATCTAGTTGTTTTTGTCATTGTGTCAGTTTTGTGGTTTGCTTCAGGAAACACTAAGCCGTCAAGAGACTGTGTTGCTTTGGGGTTGTCTAAAATGATCCTTCTGTCTAATGATGCACATTTTATAATTGGCACCAACTGTTGACTCAAGTTTGAACTTTAAAATAATAGCAGTCATGATGGGTTCATTGTCATTACTGGAATCCCTTGCGTGCATGGCATCAAATCTTGTTTTAGCTACAGTAGACATGGCATCCTGTTCCAAGTGTTAAACCCAGCTGCTTTCTATTGTGATTCATTCAATGAGACTTACTTTCTAGCATTAGAGGTGAATGATTTTTTTATTATTATTGGTTAACATCACAATATGCCTCATGTCTCACCACTGATGTTGCATGCATCTATCATCAGGTCATCACTTCATCACTTCCCATGAATCACTGTCCTTCGGAACCAAATGCAATCCCTTATTGAGGCCATTCTCACTTTAAAGAATTTTATTTCTGTAATAAAATGGCTATAAGCTGTTAGATGCAATCTGCATTTAATATTTATATTAAATTTAAATGTGAATTTAACATTGAGACTGGCAGGCAAATGTGGATAAAATATGCAGTCATTTAGTAAATAATCATTTATCATTTATAATATATTATTATTAGTATTATTGTTGTTGTTGAAACTGGCGTTTATTTTGTAATACAATCCATAATTTGAATTAGACCACAATAGTGTAACAATGAATGCATTTCTGGGTCAAGTGCCCTCAGACTTCATGGTTCCCATTTGTATCGTCCTCCCATCAGTCTCTTTTTTTAGTTGCCACTGAAACAAAAATAGTTAATCCCCTGAAGTTTGGGACTGACTCACGTGTGAATGTGTCTGTATGCTGAACACCACACATAATTTTCTCAGTCTCCATTGTTTCTGTTAGGAAACAGACCAGTGTGTTATCTCAGGAATCACTGTAAACAAAGGCATGGAAGAGGCCACATACAATAGTCTTGTTCATACTCTTTTTGTGGTATTTGAGTTTCCTGAATAAACAGAAGGCAGTCAATGCAGGGAGAAGCAGTCATTTCCTATAAGGATTATATTTTTCCTCTTTCCACGATTAAAGCTATATTTTCCTTGGTGTGCGGTGCAACTGAATGTTTGCAGGTAACAACGTGGGTTTAAAATCTTGTTCAGCTATGTTTTATGATAACATTAGAAACTATGCAGCCTTAAAGTCATATTTCACATAAATGGTTACATTTTTATTGTTGAGGGTGGGATTTTGGCGAAGTAAAGTGTCCTGTATCATGAAAAAGGGCCTTCAAGTTTATACTTTCAAACTGTCCAACTGTAATGCTCATGTTTGTTCTGAGGATCTCCTTTGAAAATGAGATAAGTCGGGAGGACTAGAAAATCATTGCTTGCACTTACCCAGCCAAAATATTTTATTGTATGTAAATAATGGGTTTTACAACAAAATGTAAGAGTAAGAGAAGCTATTTCCTACCATTTGAGATAATAAATTCTCTGCTGTAAACTTGGGGATCTGCCTAATGAGATTTCGACAACAAGAAGGGATAAAGTGATACAGACTGGGCCAATACAAAGACTGTCCTTATTAAAGAGGAATGCAGAATTCTGTTGTGGTCCAATTCAAGTTGTGTTTTCTCACTTTTTTAACACCTCCACAAGTGGGGGAGGGTGCATGTTTTTATCGACAGTCATGATCAGCCATGTGGGTAAACTGGGCATGTTTCCTGGAATGTCCCAGACAGCAGTATCATTTTCCATCAGGGACTTTGGGCTGTTTTCAGACGCTGTTGGTGTTTTCACACTTCTTACAAACTCTCATTCTGCTGTGGATTAAGGGGAGTTCAAGACTTGTGGGGGGGGGGGGGGGTGATTGCGTGGGCTGAGGTGTCTGACATAGCTCCGTCTGACATAAGCAATACTGTCAATTGTCTGGGTCGCGAGAGACCATTGAGGTCTGACCATTCCATCAATTAAGGCATGACTTGCGTGTCTTAGTTTCAGACTTCTTTTCCACACATTCATGATATGGAAAACCTGATGATTGATTATGCAGCTGTTTATTTTAAGACCCCAACTGATGAGTAAACAGTGTTTTGTAGAACCAGCTTGATTAAACACAACATAAACTGCTACTGGTACGGTTAAATCAATAGCTTTTTATTAGAAAGAAAGCATCTGCTTAGGATATGCACAAACAGGTGCAAACGGCATAACCTAAGTTGAGCTGTTCTAACTGCCTAGTGATAATAAAACAATGGAAAAGTTAATCGCATGTGTTTATGATCGTTGATTAGATTTTCAAATATTGATTCAGTGAGTAAAGTCCCAAACCATCTTTTATAAGTCAATGAGAGATTGAAACATGCAATAAAAACAGTTGGATATTTCTCTTAGTCACTCTGGGATATATCCAATATGGCATGCTTAATTGTTGTAGTGGAAAGACAATGTTCTGTTCCAGCACATTGATCCAGCCCTCTTCATTATGTCTCGCTCTGGTTTAACTCTCTTCTGTAAGTGTAGCACTAGTGTTGCTGGTAGTTATGCAAAAATGAAAACACTGTCATCATTTACTCTTTCCCTCATTTACATTTACGCTCATTCCAAAACTGACATAACATAAACAAAGATCTTTAAGTGTTACTCTGGTGTAGCTCTCTCAAGGAAGAGTAATTTTCTGATTTGTGACACCTGTGGCATCATCCCCAAGGAAAAAGCTAACAGAACTGTGACAGTAAATATGAATTGTGTAACGGAACAATTCCCTATAGTATAAGCTGACAAGCTTTTATTCTGTTTCTCTGTCTTATCAGGAGCATTCAGAGCCAGACTTGGTGGAGCAGTTGCGTTCAGCAGGTAGCGTGGACGAGCTTATGAGAATAGTTTACCCCAGCTACTGGAGCATGCTGAAGTGTCGTTCCAAGATGGGATCACGCTTACCTCACAGAGATCACGGCTCCACAGAAACAAGGTCGGAGGAGGCCTCCTTTGCGGCTGCTTTCATCAATCTTGACATTTTTACAAGTGAGTGACTATTAATTTAGGACCAGCACAGACTGTCATTATTGTCTTACAGACAAGACTTTTTGTACAATCCTGAGACAAAGTTTCTTTAGGATGCCAAGAATGTGATCTGCAATAATTGCAGTGCATACTAATCCATGCATTTCACTGTTGGCCTTTTTTAATGTGTCTGTTCTTCCTGTCTTGCTGCGCTTCCTTCAGGTATTCAGACAGAGTGGAGAAACACCCTGTGCATGCCACGCCAAGTTTGTTTAGATGTGGGGAAAGAGTTTGGGGCAGCTACAAACACCTTCTATAAACCACCCTGCGTGTCTGTCTACAGATGTGGGGGCTGCTGTAACAGTGAGGATCAAGTGTGCAAGAACATGAGCACTTCATACATCAGCAAGACAGTGAGTGATGCTTTCAGCTTGTGTCTGCATCCACAAATTTGTTTATGTGAAGGAGGGATGGAACCAAATATGAGCTGTATTGACATTCATTTTTAAGCTTCATTTTACATCACTCATTTTACATAAATTTTACATCACTTTTTGGCCTTCCATTCACACGGAGACAGCATTTTATCCTGTGAAAACTGAGCTTATTGAAGGCGCTCTCCCAAGTGGATACATTTGAAAATGTTGTTTTCACATTGTAGTGTTGACTGTGAAAATGAAGGCATTCAAAATGTAGCACATTTGAAAAGGTATTAGAAAATTAAGCATGTTTAGCCATGTTACGCATATTGTACTGGTAGATATCTGCAATTATGTGCAGTTCACTTTCATAGCTAAAGATATGTTACTTTATAAACTCTTCATATCACAGTTCTGCAAAGGTGATACAACAATTTAATCTGCCATAAGAATGGCATGAGAACTTTATTGAGTCTGTTAGGTTTGTTTCATCTCAAGTGAGATTTTTTTTTTCTGACGTTTCAGTGTAGATGAGAAACTTTTGGAAAATGCTTGAAATCAGTAATGTGGACAGCGAGTGTTTTGTAGCAAAGATGCCATTTTCAAATGTGTCCGGAATAATGTTGTAGATCTACTCTTAGGTTCAGCACACTTTTGGTTTAAGCCTCACTCACATCTGGTTCTGTCTGAATACAGATGCAGATTATTTTCCATTGCATCAAATACAGATAAATATACAGGCAATTTTTTCACTGCATACCCTTAACTAACACCTTATATATAAATCCATTCCTCTATGTAATAACATAATAAACTTGAATAATCTTCAATCAAAAGCATCTGCTTTTTGTTTTAAAGCCTACTCCCAGAGTAGACAACTCAGATGATCAGTTAAGCTTTGATTTAAAGAGTTGTGGATGAAGCAGGGGTTTGGTTGGGAGGTCATGGCTGTGAATTATTTGCAAGAAGGCCTCCTTTAATTACCCACTTATTTTGGGTGGGCTGACCTTAGCAGGCAATGGGTTCTCCTCGTGTGATTTAAACCATGACGCCCTCCCACCAGTTGAGCCGCCTGAGCAGGTCAAGGTCTCCATGTCCACGCTACTGCGCCAGAGACGTGAAACTCCCATTCTGGGCACAAAGCCTGAACAGCAAATGCAATGTGAAGATATTTCAAAACATTTTAGTAAGATATGGATTATGGAATTACAAGCTCCAGGTTTCTTTGACGAAATGACTGGGTCAAGAGTAAAGTATGCATTAGATGAACATGGTTGCGATTTGAATTACTGGTATTAGTGTTCATAAGCTATTTACATTAAGCACAATGCAATGTAATGACAACATAGCCTTTAAAATGCCTACAAGAGTGAAATATCTGTGAAGCAACTGTGATAAGTGAACCTGTTAGTTTGTCATCAGTCTCAGAGAGAGAGTGAAAACATATTAAATGGACTTTTGGTTTCGTCTGACCCTTGTTTCACCTACACCTAGGTAATACTTAGGCCTAGTAGACTTAATACTGCAGTAAAGTGTTTTTATCATCAAGACTGGTGGGCTGACACATTTACAGGGTGAGCAAGTGGAGCTTTTGGGATCACTTGTCCTGGTAAAAGCAGTTAATAACTAAATTATAGAGTCCTGCGAACATCAAAGAGAAAGAGTGTGTATTTCCAAAGATTTTGACCCTATTGCATTTCACCAATTCAATATTTGCTGAGAAGAGATGGGTTGTTAATATTTCCATTGTTCTTGATTAATATTATGTGTTAATGGCCCATTAAAGATAGTAAAAATAGCTGTCTTATATTTACACTGTGCCTTTGTATTGTTTTTGCAGTCTGGATTGAGCTCATCAATACAGTATATTTTCACAGATTTTGAATGGCAAAGCAGTTGTCTTTAGATGTAGCGATGCAGTTAAAAAATGTCTACATGAATTTGTGTGCTTAGCACATAGAAGAAGGGAGAGGTGAAGCAAGCCAACCAGTGGGGTCAGGGAGAGACTGTAACATCCTATAATTCTCTTTCTCATCAAACACAATTAATTTATGTGTGTCTTGAGAGTGGTTTATTAATCCAACAGGAGCTGACTGGGAGGTTTAGTATTCCAGAGGTTTTGGTTTTGTTTGTTTGTTTGTCCCGCTAAAATAATTTACTGCCTTGGTTCTAAAGAATGAAGTATCTAGGTCTATAGCAGCTATTATGCATATCAAAGAGACTACACAGAGTGCATGATGAGTAGACAAGACAATAGAGACTAAAATTTTAATTTATGTCATCTATGACTCAGCCTCGTGTTATTCCAGGCCTGTGTGACTTTCTTTCCATGTTCTTTTCCATGAAATTACAATTACGTCAACTGAAGCCTTCAAACTTTAAAAAGATACAATATCACCAGGAAAGTATCCTAAAAGTGGTGAGTTAACCACTGAACACTGAAGGGTAAAGTTTAGCAGGGAATTCTGATGCTGTTTGGCATCAGAATACATGGAATATAGCAGACAATTTATATGGACCTATTTTATTTTACTTTTATGGTGCATTTATGTCATGTTTTGAAGCTTGACCAGAGCATTCTTCAGAAATTCTACTTTTATGTTCCACATTAGAAATAATGTCATATGCAATTGCAGCAACCTAAGGGTGAGTAAATGATGACAGAATTTTAATTTCTGGGTAAAATGTCCTTTTAAGCAATTAATTGAATCATAGTCAGAACCTATAATGATTTTAGCTGTTCTTTGAAAGCACATCTTCTTTCCTAATGCGCTCTCAATCTAACAGGCAGTTAAAATCATGCACATTACAACTCAACAATGTTCCTCATTGTCATTTATGAAAAAAAAAACATTGAAATAAAACGATATGTATTTAGCCATTTTAGGAGCACATTCCCGTTACTACTACTTATAATTGCACATTCAACATAAATTCCTTGGAATGTTTCCTCATAGCAGGAGGAAGTTCTGATTTATTGGTCTAACGGTATTTGCCTGCCTTGCAAATGATCTTGCATGAGTTCCTTATTACCCATTTCCCCTTACCAGTGTGATCAGACTGTAGTTGCGGTTGTGTCTGTACACTGATTTCGCAGAAGGGCTATGTGCAATCACAGTTGCACAACTCCTTTAGACATAAATCCATTCATTAATCTTGATTTAGGTATAATTGATTGCCCACAATTCATTTTGACATTTAAGGCAAACTCCTTAAAGTAACCCTTCATGCAGTTTCACATCTTACCTCAGTTTGATTTAATTGAAAATATGACCATTCTTCCATTTTCATTCTGCAGTTGTTCGAAATCACAGTTCCTATGAAGTATGGGGCCAAGCCAGTCACCATAAGCTTCGCCAACCACACTTCCTGCAGCTGTTTGTCAAAACAGGATTTGTACCGACAGCAGCACTCAATAATTCGAAGAGCCTTACCAGAGTAAGTGTTCACACTCCTTCACATATCCCTAAGCGCTATTTTTAAAGTGTGATTAAGATTTTTGATGATTTGATTAAAGGTTTTGATGTGTTAAGTCTGTACTATTTTATTTCTCTGTTGCTTTGAATGTTTGAGAGGTTAGAATAGGATATCAGTGTAGACTAACACTGTGAACCACACTGTCATATTGTATCACGCCATAACAGCTTGATGCAGTCTGTTCCAAATCCATTTGTACTGTTGTCAGAAGTAGCAGAAGTGTGTGGAGTACACCACGTCGTGCCCCATAAGAAAAAGCTGCGCATAAGAATGACATTGTGAAGATCAATATAAAAACTATAATTTTTCCACACCACTTAAGAGACTAGATGAAGTTAGCATGTTGCTAAAGATTCTGTGACATTTACCATTGTCAAATTTTCTCAGACAAAATTCAGTCATTTCAATAGGAATCCATGAGATAGGGAATTTCAAGTGAGGGTGAAAGATTTCGCCATGTTGATTTTGCAATGTGTCCATGTTGGTTATGTAGTTGCCAACAGAATGTATTGACCAACAAAAAGCTGCTTGGTTTGGAAGTGACTTCTGTGTGAGCTGTGCTTCACACATCGCTACACTATTGACAACAGACCTAATTTTCCATTAAAAATGCAGTAATGTGACCACACCTTAAGCTAGTGGTGCAATAATCTAATAAATATAAAAACATATACAGTAGCACATACAAATATTGGGGGAAAAAATCAATTATGTATCCCACTGAACTTATTAACACTTACCGATACAGTATCGAATTAAAAAAGTGTATTTACAATCAACATTTCTCTCATCCACCATCTTGGATTTTTGTTTTCTGTTGAACCTATCACAATTTTTTGTGTGCAAAAACGTGTGGATGTCACTTTGGATTAAAGTGTCTGCCAAATGCATAAATGTAAAGGTAGAGGCTAAGTTGTGGAACAGAGCAACACTTTTCTAAAATATATTACTCTTCCTTAACAGAAATATTGAACAAATAAGTGTTGAAGTGTTAAAATGCACTCTGATGTAGTGGGAGCAACCGATGATAGGGTAACTTATATAAGAGATAAAGTATCACACCAAGACATTCAAAAAATTGACTTTACTGTATCCCCTGTTTGTTTTGGCCTTCTTTAGCGTCTCATCAGCGGATATGTGGCTACACTGATGTGTGTATTTTGGATGTAGTTGCACATCCAATGACGTACAGTAGCTTAT